TATCGTTGGATCATCAGGATGGAATGAGAGGTAGAGTTGAGTGTCATCAGCATAGCAGTGATACGAAAAGCCATGTTTCTGAATGACAGAACGTATTGATGCCATGTAGACAGAGAAGAGAAGTGGTCCAAGAACTGAGCCCTGAGGCACCCCAGTAGTTAGATGCACCTCACCACTCCAAGATACTTTGAAGGACCTATCTGAGAGGTAAGCCTCAAACCACTGGAGTGCGGTTCCTGAGATGCCCTTTGCCATTAGAGTTGACAGGAGGATCTGGTGGTTAACCATGTCAAAAGCAGCGGACAGATCCAGCAAGATAAATATTGAAGATTTGGAATCCGCTCTTGCCAGTCTTAGGGCTTCAACAACTGAGAGCAAGGCAGTCTCGGTTGAATGTCCACTTCTGAAACCAGACTGGTTGCTGTCGAGGAGGTTGTTCTGTGTGAGAAAGGCAGAGTCTGTAGTTCTTTAAAAGAGATGGGTTAAGGGTGGGTTGCTTAAGTAGTAGGGGTTATATGAGCCTGTCTAAATGTTGAGGGAAAAACACCAGTGTAAAGGCAGTGTTTCCCACACATAGAGTTTACTTGGTATATTAACGGCCCAAGTATATTTGGTGAAACATTTTTGCTTTTATTATTTTTATCCTCTTATACTAATATTTTATTTTATGTATGTTTTTTTTATTTATCCGTTTAAAATAATAGAACCATCCACGATCGATTATTAACTACTAGGGATGAGTATAGTTTACATTTTATCGGTACCGATACCGCTGATTGATACCGGTACTTATCGATACGGTTATCGATACTATTTGGGGCAAAAAGATATGAAGTGAAAAGTTGTTGAAAATTGTAAGTTATTTTATTACTGCTGAACTTTAGCACCTGTATTAAAGTTCTTCAGTCAAGAGCAGTGAGTTATTTTTCTCTTTGTGTTTTATTTTATTAACATTACAGGAATAGTTCACCCAAATATGAAAATGGTGTCATCATTTACTCACTCTCAAGTTGTTTCAAACCTGAATGAGCTTCTTTCTTCTGTTGAACATAAAAAGTTATTTTGAAGTATGTGGGAAACTAAACAGTTGCTGGTCCCCAGTGACTTTCATATTTTACTATTAAAGTCAGTGGGGACCAGCAACTGTTTGGTTACCCACATTCTTCAAAATATCTTCTTTTGTGTTCAGCAAAAGAATAAATAAAAATTAATACATGTTTGGTACAGCATGACTGAGTAAATAATGACAGAATTATAATTTTTGTGTGAACTATCCCTTTAATGACTAGCGGTAGCATGTTTAGTACTGCCGCTTTAAGAGCTGCACGCATCCGTTTTTCTCTCAACTGTTTACTTTCACTTTAGACATAATTAACTGTGTTTATATGTAAACCTTGTGTGTTTTTGACAGTATTCGTGCAATCAGACGATAACTAAGACAACTAAGTAATCAGGTGCCGTTTGACTGGCCTTTTAGTGTACACAAATTTCAGGTGTACGCACTCTGAACAAGCTCACGCCAGATCAGCACGCGAATGAAATGTTTAACCAGCAAGGCTTTTAAAGCACGCGGAAATAATGTACTTTTGTGATTGCGAATAAGTCTCGTGAGTGTAACTCTACCGAATCAACATTTTGATGTGAATGTGTCTCATGAGTTTCAGTTGGAGCTGGAGCCGCGAGACATAATACAGTGCATTTGATGTGAATGTGTCTCGCGAGTTTCAGTTGGAGCTGGAGCCGCGAGACATAATACAGTGCATTGCTTGAGGTAGATGTTGTATTTTGTTAGTAAATGTTTCATTATATTACTAGTGTTGCCTCCTTTGTTCACTATTACACTACTGCATATATTGCATCTGACACTGGTGTCGCCTAGTTTTGTAACGTGAGCCCACACTTTCAAACGTTTCACCGCCACTGATTGCATGCAAACACACACCGCATATGCCCATGGATATCACACGCACGTCGAGCAAATGTCGGCCACATCATTCAGTGAAGGAAAATGACAAGCAGCAGCTTCTAATTCGTTGTTAACATTGAAGTATACGGAGATAAAACAACGCAAGTATCGATAACAGTATCGTTTGTCCTGAAGCTTATCGGTAGTCCGGTATTGACCCAATTACATACCGGTTCAGAAAAATACCGGTTCTCGGTACCCATCCCTAATAACTACACGTTTTGTATCTGCTCGTTCGGTTTCCTCCCACTGGC